ATACCTGACAAACACATATTTCCCTATGGATTACCACCTCCCTCTTAGGACAGCTGTGTTTATTGCATGTTATAAATGACCACGGTCATCATTACCACACATCAGTATCTACTTCTCATATCTCTTGTTATTATCTCCGTTTACCTTATTTTCATCCAATTTCGTCTTCTGACACATTACCATATTTTTATTCTTGAAATTACAGTCCTCTCTAAGTGCTCGAATTTCCGCTTTAAAATATTCACATTGCAACCAACCAACCTCTCGACAGATGATGTGATATCTACTGATACTCAGAAACTCTACCGCTCCGTAATGAGTAACTCAATCAGTTGAATGGAATTGCCGTTGGAGTGAATCCTGCCATGAGATGAGTGTAAAGTCTCGGCTAAATTAGTTTCTGATTAAATGAAACCGCCCAATTAAAGGAATTGATCTAACCAATAAGTCAGTCAGTAGTTTTGAATTAAAAATCGTTTCTATCTTACAGCCCTGATACAAAGACATACAAAGCATGCAAATCCACAAATAACTATCATACAAACTAGAATTAGTGCAGTCATGTGGTTAGACTGTAGTGACACTGGATCCTAACCATGACCCTCAAGGCTGAATATGAGATAATGGGGAAAATAGACTTTCAACATGTAAGGTCAATAGTGGTGGACGCAGGATAATTCATTTGAAATCGAATTAATCGGATGGCATGGCTCAGCCTTGCAGGCATGGGCATTCTTTTGTAACTTATCTCTTTTATTCATGTTAAATACATCGTTCTATCACCAGCCCAAATGTGTTCTCCATCATATGTTAGTGATGATTACGATAGAGCGAGTCAGTGTAGAAAATAATGTGACTTCCACGTAAGACCTTGTAGAATAGGTAGTCACATTGTGACAAGTCTAAAATTTTGGGATTATGTCTACTGTCGGAGAGGTACTAATAACAAAGTACGCCATAACTTGACAAGACTGCCAGCCATCAAACATAACCGAATTTTTGGAACCGTACCGAAACGACAAGAAGTGACACCAAAGAAATGAATGGGCTCTCACAAGTTTTTGATAAAGTTATCGGAAAAGTAGGGAAACAAAATGAGACCTTTGCATCTAACGCCAAATCGGACTACAGGGATGAGATTTTGGTAAACAAATCCCCACAACTTATCAGGCCGGACCTCTCCGGCAGGTCAGTCATTTTACGTAAGTGAAGAGAAACTTCAGAAAAGAAAACAATGACAGTATTTAAACCATCTGAGTTAGCATTTACAAACTTTATAGAATAGGACAAAATATTGATTTTTAAATGAAGCCTCTTAAAAGTTACTTTTACTTCTGCTGAAGACAGAAACCTAACACTAAAAAATTCATGCAAACTGACCGGTCGCAGAATACGTGTTTGTGCGGATCTCAGCCTGATCGATCTCATTAAGAAACGATCAGTAGAGGTAGAAATAAATCAGCACCACCAGAACAATGAAAAATCCTCGTACTCAGGGTTTTTTACATTGTAAAGGTTCGGTGTGAACCACTCTGAGTGGGACGCGAAGGTTCTTCACAGAATTAAAGTTGTGATGTACAACTGCTTGCAGCCCACAAAATAAAATGACAAAGCCCAAAACAGTAATGGACACAGAAATAAGGATGTGATTGTCATCTTAGAAGTACGGTTAACCTCAGAAGTGTATGGTAGTGAATTTCAACTGCTGGATTTCTTACTTTGCAGAGCTGGCAGACTAAAGCATAGTGCTGGTGAGGTTACCCTCTAAACGAAAATTATCTTAACCATACGAGCTGTCGAGACAATGGCACACGAGTTGGTATCATGTGAACTGGTGCACTGTTGGCTGAAATGTAGCAGCAAGATGTCGGATTAATCGTAGTACACCGCAGTTTACACAGCAGACCATAACGATATTTGCAGGGTGCGCTAAGGTCAGAGTCAGACTTGCCACTTTAGTGGTGCCGTGATCTCTTTCCGATTTGATCATATAGTGAAAACCTGCGTTGTTTAACTATTAAGCTGGCTTCACTGAGTTTGTTCGCCAAAAGAATGAAGTGCAGAAGATTATTCATCGATGCATTTTTCTGCGTTGGATTCGTCATCGGTGGGCGCACCAACTTAGTGGCCATAGATCTGACTCCAAGCAAATCGTATGAATGATTGTTATTGAACGATTGCAGTCGAAACACATATGTCGTCAATCGTCATATATAACCATCGATTTGAATCGTATTAGTGAATAACGGAACTAAATGAGTCAAATACGAGAATGAATTTTTGAATACGTATATTTTTTTGACAATCACTGATCCAAACAGACGATCAACGCAGTAAAGTGAAGTGAAATGATACACGGTGAAGACATGCAAGCCAACTCGATTTAATCAAGCGTGAATCGATATTTATATTCGAACCAAAACAATCTACAGACATTTGATGTGCAAGATAAGAAACACACATACATACGCTTATATAAATAACAGTCAAGAATGTTGGGCGAATAATTAACAAGGTCTATCGCAGTCCAAGCTGTGAGATAAATGAGGTCCTGCTAAGTAGTCTCAATACTTGGTCACAAAGTGGTTGATGTCTCATCCTAGGGGACCTTAATGCACCTATGGTAGACTGAGAAAACCTGCGAACTCAATCGTCAGAAAATTTCTTCGAGCAGGAGCTAGTTGATGCGGTTATCACATGTGCCCTAGTGCAACATGTGAAAGAAGCGACTAGGTACGACCCGGACTCCGATTCATCCCTACTAGATTCTATATTGACTCACTATGGGGATGACGTTGCTAATCTCCATTACATGCCCCTCCAGGTAAAAGTGATCACGCAGTTTTAAGTCTCGACTTCCATATAACTGTCAATCACGATCACGCGTTAGCTCAATCCAGACATAACTTCTGAAAAGCAAACATACAAGATGTCATATACTCAGCATCATCAGTAGACTGGACAATAGAGCCGGAGTCCTCCATTGAAACGGCTTGGAACTTATTTCGAAATCTATACTTAAACGTTGCCGTGCTCCACATCCCTTGGACTACACTAAGAGGACCGAGAAACTCTCCACTATGGTTCAGTAGGAAGGTTCGCATCCTTCTCCGTAAGAGAAAATTGTAAGATAGATTTAGGTTACTGGGGACTGATGAAACTAAATCCCAGTATAGAAAAGTCCGGAATATCTGTGCCTCGACCCTCCGTAAATCTAGAAAGTTGTACGATGAAAAATTTTTTGAGGAATCCATAGAATGTCCTAAACGCTTGTATTTCTATATAAACCAAAGGACAAAGAGAAGAGGAAATATTCCTGCTCTATGGGGAGATAGCACTACCGCATCATTAGTGGAGGACGACTTTGGTAAGGCTCAAGTGTTCTCGAACTACTTTAGCATTGTATGTACCGTAGAAGCGCCCTTCCCGTCAGCGCATACAGATCCCCCACACATACACTGTATGGCGTGACCATTAAAGAACTCGATGTCTTTGGTCTGCTAAATAAGCTTGACATAGGTGAATCCACGGTGCTCGATGAATTGCATCCTGAAGGATTTATCTAACTTCGTTGTGAACCCCATAAGTATATACTTTACTATCCGTAACGCAGGGTCGTTTACCAAAAGACTAGAAGAGCGCCTCAGTAAGTCCTGTCCTCAAAACAAGTACGAAATATAAACCTGAGAATTACCGCCCCGTTAGCCTAACTAGTATGGTTGGTAAAATCTTAGACAAGATTATTCAGAAGGAGCCATGATAAGCTAAGAAATGTTGGGAATGGAGGCAATCCAATGATGTTGATAAAAGACTTCCTAGTTGGGCGCCAACAAAGAGTGTGGGTGAACTCAAAGCTATCTAGCTGGGAAACTGTGCTTAGTGGAGTGCCTCAGTGCACAGCTTTGGGGCCAGTGTTATTTCTCTCATATGTATATGACCTTCCCCGTCTCCTATCACCATCGGTCTTGCTATATGCTGACGATGTCAAGATATGGAGAACGATACGATGTAAGGTTGATAGCTTAGGATTCCTAAATGACCTGAAGAAATGATGTGAATGGTCTCAAACATGGCAGTTGCCGATAAATATTTCCAAGTGTGTTGTGATGCACATCGGTCATCAAGGCACAGATACAGACACCATGAATAACACTGAGCTACCTGTCGTCCAGACATATGATGACTTAAGAGTCATCGTTAGCCAAGACCTAAAGACTACTGCACACTGCCGTGCAATAGCCGCCAAAAGTTTTAGAACCTTATGGTCAATACGTAGGGCTTTTAGTCATGTCGACACTAAGACGTTTTTGACTTTGAATACAGTGTTTGTTCGTCCTAAACTTGAGCACTGTATACAAGCGGCTAGCCCCTGCTTAAAAAAGACAGTGAGCTTTTGGAAATGGTTCGGATAACAGCAGCTAAGATGATTCCCAGAATAGCGAAGCTTCCGTATGATGCTTGACTGGCCAAGCTGAACCTTTTCCCGTTGTCATATAGTAGAACTAGAGGCAACTTGATTACAGTTTTCAAGTTGCTTAGTGATAAATTTGCACCTGATATGCCCTCATTTTTCTTGTCTTCCAAAACAGAGAATTTAAGAGGACACTCCAAAAAATTTCACAAGCCCAGAACAAACTACTTGTCAGTTGACTACCGACTTTCCCATCTAATCATCAACGAGTGGAATCCATTAACTCAGCACGTTGTTGAGGCTCCATCCGTCGACTCTTTCAAAATAAAGTTGGATCAACGGAGAGACCACCATTGCCAGGACTAACACAGGCCATCAAGCCTCCTGTCCTTTCCAAAATGAAACTAAATGTCAAAATATGACTTAAGAAGAATGAATAAATTGGCTTGCCCGGAAGCTAGAATAAGCTGTGTAGGCTTTCAAAGAAATACAGGAAAAGACACTCACAGAAGCTTACTGGAAAAAGACTAATACAAACCTTAAACCTTCTGTCTTTACTACATAACTGTGAAATCTGCATCTGGATATTGGATACTGGACAGCGGTAACATGTAACGAGGGTCCAAGTAGGGTCGAAGCATCATCTATGGTGTTAGGCTATTGCTAATATGGAAAATGATGGGCAAGGTGACTTTAAACTAACAGATGTACGATCTCCAAATGACTGGGAACACGCTGACTTGGGTTCTAAAGATCGAAACATAAAGTTCTTAAAATTAATGGGAGGAAATCCTGTACGTGACCATAAAGGAAAACTAGTAATCGGAGAAAACATCGACAATGTGCACGGTCAAAATAAAGATACATCTGTTATCAATGAAGAGCTAGAAAATCAGTACCTTCAGGGTTTGGAAAAGAGTATGCAACCAAATTGTCACCATGGTTTAGGAAGCCATACAAGTGAGTCAGCTGACTCGTAGACGTCCTCTTTTTTTTAGTACTAATCGGTCGATCAACTCATATATTGTTATTCATTCGGGCTTTTATTTTGCGATTGCTTTGCACGTTTTGTGAAGGTACTCAACAAAATGAGTTCCCCTACCAATAAATAAATATATAACCAATGGTTAACTATTGGTTATATGTTAGTGCCCAAAATATGTTTTGAACACAACCAAATCTAATGCTTTCGAATTAGTACTGAAGTGCTAATTGGTAAATCAAGCCTACTAAATTTTTATAAAAAGATAGCATTCTGGGTAGGTCACTTCACTTATTCTTACCCTTTGAGGCTGTCTGGATATTTTCGAAGAACAAACCGTTTTCCTTTAACACTAGTCTTAACTAGTCATGAGAAATCTAAATCTTTGTTCCGAATTGAAGTTGCTTCTAAAGCGATCGCGATAACCATTTGCCTCTTATCGTCAATCAGGAAGCAATACATCTGAGTTGTTTATGGTAGAAACAATGAATAACTAAGAATATATTGTTTTTACATGAGTATTGAGCTTTTTGGAGTCAGCTATAATTCCTTAGACGTTAAGGTTCGGGCTTATGACTGCGGTTGGTTTATTTATACCCTGAATCTAATCCTGAAGTGTAATTCTAATTCTATAATGCAACAAACGTTTCAACGAAATATCACTCCATCTGCCTTTAATTTATATCCGTTGAAATTATTTCTATCACTTCATTACAACTGAGTGATTTTTCCGGTTAATCCAACATCATACGGATATTTAGTAATATATTCCATACTAAAATTATCATACGGTCGATGACCAACATTCTGGTTTAGCATTTTACCACGACTGTAATTCAGCTACTAATAAAGCTTTTTACATATCTAGGACTTTGGTCTTTACAGACAAACGGAAATAATGTTGTGAAATGAATTACTCAGAGTTAAATTATCGCTTTCATAAACTGTTGGCTATGTCTGACTATGTTCAGACTAGGTTTATTTATTAAGTGAATCCCTTAACTAGTATGCAGCTTTAGTCAACAAGAACCAAAACCTATCTCTTGCAAGTGCTGTTCGATTTATCACTTTCAACTGACTTATTGTGTGCTGGAAACGAACCTCGTATTAAGGCACAATACCTTCATTGTAGGACTTCTGATATGCGAAAATATCTCCAAAAATTCCTCAAAATACTGTTTAAAAGTTTGGTTCTGAAGACACTGTTTTTACATCGATTCATGGTTCATTGAATTCTTCTGAACGGATCTTGTGGTATCGCCAACATTCAAAGCGAACTTGGACCATCATATAAGACTAATTTACAAAGACTAGTATAAGCTGTGACTGAGGTAATCACACGATCACAATGTCCGACTGATTGGCTAAGTATTCAATGTTACACCTTGTGCACGACTCATATTTAGGTACCAGTCAGTCAGTCTTGAGTGCCTTTAGAGTTATGAGGGCGGTTATCATATCCCGGTTGCCCACACAGTGGATGGGTTCTTGTAGAGGTATCTGAAAAAGAAATTGGGTTAGAGGTGGTCTTAGTGACCTAAGAGTGACAGTAGTACTAAAGAGACGACTGCTTGAGGTCGGTCACACATGACCTTTCTGTGAGTAATTTTCGTGTTAGCTTCGTACTTGTTGAGACCTTACCGTGGGATAAGGTGAGGTGTGCATTTTTAGGGTCGACATTTCCTAACAGCATTCTTCTTTGTGTGAAGGCAGCATCGTTGTTATGCTGGTTGTCTGAAGGAAACACCTTACTGTCGTCACATCTCTGTACAGTCAGCAGTATGACTCCGCCCTCAGACCTCGGTTTTGCTGCTTTTAGTCTTAACGCTCTTTAACCGACCTGTCTGGCATGGTAGGACCTTGAGGAACAATTGTTTCAGCCAGTATAGCTCGATTGGTTCATCACGATAGGCAAGTCCGACCACCACGTCAAGGTGGCAGCAACGGTTTAATAGAAAACAAAGGAGTATTCAAATTTGCCCTTCACCAACGGCCCTTTAGCAACAACCTGTGCTTTTTGTTTTCATTAGTTAGATTTTCCCGTGTTCCTATCCTTTCCGTTCTATTCAGTTGGAGGCAATCGGCGAGAAGTCTTAGTTCCAAGTTTCCCCTTGATGATAGACCACCAAAGTGTTTTGGCACCTGGTTTTGAGCCGTTGGGAGATTCAGATTTATCTCATCTGACATAGTGGCCAAAAATGTTACTGAAGTAGTTTAAGCTAAAACTGACATTCTATAACAGCTTAGTAGTTGCGAGAATTCCGTCTAAACCTTATCACTGATCTAGTTCGAAGCTTCAAACACACATTTTCATCATATACTAGTATTGGAATGTTAAAGCTATGATTTATGATATAATATTTTTGACTCCAAATCAAACAGCAACAAGGTTGTTTTTAACTTGCTAATCACCAATAGGATCTACCAACCGTTAAAGTATATGATGTTGTGTACTGAAACCATTCAAACCTATATGGTAGACATGTGTTTTAACCCATGTGGCTTCTCGTTGAAACTAACAGCAGGACTCAGTAATTACACTTTATAGCAGAAGTATAGTAAATTTTATACAGCAGAAACTCGACCTCTGTACATCCAGATTTTTCACTGTTACTCTTTTGAACTGAACATAGTTAATAATTTCATGGATGTATTAGTTTATTTCTACTTTGATGTGGTGGCGCAAATTATACTGCGATCCACAACAATTTACGGAAATAGTTAATTCTCTTAAGTTTTAAGACGTTCCTCTGTCATTTTGAAACTGGGTGGGTGGGGAGCTGGTAAATTGCAAACAACCTACATTTAAGTTTTTATCATCATACTAGTTAAAAAGGTTCATTGCTAACATAGTAAATTTGCGGAGATGGTTTAATTTGTACTTTATATGATGAATTAACATTAGCTAGATATTTATTAAAAACCAGAAAACACGACGAATATTTCGTTATAGTGTCGAAACCCTCATCAATGTGTGTCCACAAACCTACCAAGGGTTGAAACCAGGTTTTCCAAGCCACAGAGTCATATTTCTTGGACTAAACAACTTTTCATGAATTTTTGGTTATCAATGCTTGTTTAACTGAAGACATTTCATTAAGCCAACTAAGAACAAACGATCATATTAAATTTAAATTTAAGTTTCATCACTGACCGGCACCAGTTATAAACGTATTGATAACTGAGGGGTGTATTACTTCTCAGTAGTGGAGACTCACAAATTCGTTTGAGACCTAACTAGGATCTTTGAGTCTGGTAGCGAACACGATACCTATGGATCATTATGTAAATATCCAGTAATTAACATTCTTAAGTTCATTCAATTTACCAGATTGTGCATTCACTGTCTGATACCATCACTGATGACATATTCATTGTTCTATATATCGTTAGAATCATCCTGTTGTATGGGCGAGAGAAATAGTTATAGGCCGTTTGCTTAGACTGGTAGATAGTTTGATAAGTATTGGATGTGTAATATAGATTTTCGTACCCCTTATTATCATATTGTCGGTTGTTGAATGTTGACCAATACACGTTCGAGTCGGGCGAATCACGTGTTCTTGATTTCAGTTGCGTTGAAGTTTAGTATCAAGTATAGAGCGAATGAATCATATACGCAGATAAATCGTTTAGTGTTCGTCCTGAGAAAATTAGTGTCCATTTATTAAAAGGAGAAATCCGACTGTTATTTTAGAACCAATCACGTCTTCTCTACTTTATATTAGGAACTCACTTCGAATCTAACACTCTACAAATCAGTATCCGAATATCTAAGTTTGTTTAATCCACTTTCTAATCTTCGATCACAAAAGCAATCACATTTACTTACATCATCGTCATCCTGTTTATTACTTTCCTTGTTCTTTTTCTGCCTTCAAACTTGAACAGATTCCTCGTCCAACCCAGTGGACAATTTGGATTATACCAACACAGAAAAACTTAAGGAACAATATAAATCATCATTTATCTCGGGAAAGGATTCTTAATAAAGAATTTTAAAATGTTTATCGCTTACCGTGTATTTTTTCTTGTTTATATTTTCAGCGATTTTTTTTATACAATTATAATAGTTTCTGAATGAACGTAGATATGTGAATACACTTTGTGGCCAACTCTTGAAGTTATTCTGCCAAAAAATGTCTATTATTTACACTAATAGATATTCAAATGTTATTTCTTGTGAGAAGTGACCAATTTTTAGAAAAATTTTTTAGACTTTTTGCGTTTTTTAAATGTTCATTCAAAATTATTTACGAATTTTTCAATGCAATTGTACCATTTTCTAAACAGTATAAGAAGTTTACGACTTGCGTTTACGCGTCAACCAAGCAAATATTTGGATAATGATTATCGTTTTTTTTCGTTATTTTTTAAAATTCTGTAGACTGTGAATTAAGTTTGTCAGCACTTATTATGTCAACCGACTAATACAGAAACTTGTCTCTCAATGCAAAAAATATCATGTCAACGAAAATAGAATTCATTGTGCACAAGATCAGTTACTAACAAATTGTAAGTAGCTTGATACACGAAACCAAACTTTACCAAAGCCGCTTAAATGACCTCTTAAACCCAAACTACCCAACTTTGCACCACCGTGGAGAATGGAAATGAACAGCATAAAAAAAGGTATCGCATAAATATCAGCCACTCTGGTAAGGTGGTCGCCGTGATAAGCGTTACCTGCTCATGCATCGCGATTCTAACCACCGTTTATCATAGTCTACATCATAGGCTGATCAAATATACCTAGTACCCCTGTTGTGAACGAGAACAGAAGTGAGGGACATCCGGTTGTATTTTAATGTAAAATTACAGAGTACTTTCATCAGACGTGAGGACGATACGTTCAGTACTTCATTTGAAAATTCTCCATCCATTGTCTCAAACTTCATCATTCCTCCATTGTCATAGTGATTACACTGTTTCCACTCGCTTCGATTCGGTCATCTCAACATTCTACTGGCACGTTTTCCACTTCCGATCGGTGTTGCATACCACTTATGTCTGTCTGTGTAAATAACATACACCACACCCCTATATCTAAATTCAGCAGTAGTCACGTAATAGGTTCACCATGCGTAATCAACGCTTCAAAAGTATGTATGCGCAAGATCTAAAAACTATAGCACATGTTATACTTTCAAAAGCCCCTTGTCCTAACCAAAATTACTGAGCACTGTCTCAGTTTTTTCATGAACGGACAAACATACTACTAGATTAACATGTTTCGTAAGCTTCCAGAGGCACAGAGTGGACCTCATGTGTTCGAGAGAACGTTTCGTCATCCCTTCAAATCAACAAGGTCTAATGAGACTGTCAAGGCTAGTTGCGGTAACGTACTAAACTACTTCACTTCCTGTAGTCGAACTATGAGTTGATGCGTACTAGTCCTGAGGTAACACTAAGCATTTAGTGATAAGCGCCAATTTTGAAGCTTCTGTAGTCTCGTCTGAGGTATTTCTAGGTCTACCATAACTGGACGGAACACGGTCGTCTACGTACTGTAGGTAAATAAACGAGTTTCCAGGAAGCAGATCAACTACTGAGGTGAAACAATGAAAAAATCATTTTATTATGTGAATTACGATTTTGACAAACATCTTTTGAAGTCAATGAACTTCTGAAAAATCCACATATCCAGTAAGTTTAGATGAACTCGACTAATGTATTTTTGTCAGGGCGGAGGGGCTATTTTATGGTTATGATCGATCACCTGTGAATAGTGTGGCCGAGCGGTGATAACTATCAAAACGTGAATTATTAGTTTAGAACTTCAAAAAGACAGAATCAATTATTAACATGGAGACTTATTTTTTAGGGGACATAATGCATTTATATGCAAAATATTGTGCACAAAAATAAATTTCATTGAGTATTGATTAAAATACATAATCGATTGCACCATAAAGATCTCGTAAATTATTCATCAAACTTTATTCTTGCCCTTCCAATAGTGTAAGATAGTTTAAAAATTACTTCCCACTAAACAATTATTGAATACTTTTAATTGGTTAGTTACTTGTTATTATTTTTTTATCACCAAATAACTGCATATATTACAGTATTAAATTATTTATTATATACAGTAAACTTGTCACTTTTCTATAGTTATTCCATATATTGGTAAAATCAATCATTGTTTTTTTAACTGTATTAAATTATTCAATAATACCTTGGATATGTAATAAATAATGATATCCATTTTAATTTTAGTCCATCAAAAGTACATCCAGTGTTTCTTTTTCACTGTATACGTTGTATATTTATTTTTCCGTACCCATAAATTACAAATTTTCTAGAAAAAAAAGATGACATTAAAATGTGACATACCTCTTAAGTACTTATATGTGATTTCATTTTTATTTACAATAATAATATACTAAGAAGAACTTTATTAAAGGAACTGGTAGATCTTGGGTCCGAATCCCGCGAGGTGGGGTGGTGAATGCGCACTGCTGAGGAGTCCCACGATAGGAAGAAACGGCCGTCCAGTGTTTCCAAGTTTTCCATGGTGGTCCAGGTTCAATTTACTTATGATCTCAACTATAGAAATTACTAGAATTTACACAAAATTCCTTCTAATACTAATCAACATATGCTCACTAGTGACTGGCTTCAAGAGGTATTGCCTGGAGTTCTAATGAGAAGCAGTGAACAGTGGTGTTCAACCGGGTCAATTGTGAGATAGATAGTAACTCACTGATGACAATGGTAGATGTGTCGCACAATTTTGTGGATTAGTTGAAGTTGAACATTAGCACCGTTGGATGCCGGCCGACTCAATGGTGTAGAGGTTAAGCGTTCGCGCACGAGACTGATAGGTCCTGGTCTTGAATCTCGCGAGGTGGTATCGTGGATGCACACTGCTGAGGAGTCCCACAATAGGAGGAAATGGCCGTCCAGTGCTTCCAGGTTTTCCATAGTTGTCTAGCTTCAATTGACTGATGATCCCAACTTTTGAAATTGCATATATATAGTTCAACAAAAATAAACGGATTCTTTTGATTAAAAAAATAAGTTAGATAATATTACATAATCTTTCATAAAATCTAGTCAATCGAGTCATTAATTTTGTTAGTCTTATTGATAAATAAAGTTCACTTGAACTATGTCTGTTATTGATTAGTACAATGATATTTTTCAACTGTCTGGTCATACGTTTTTACTTGTGAAGGTATATATACCTTGCATTTTGTCTAATTGACCTTTATTTTATTTCATTCATATGAATAAATGTCTTATATATGTGATCAGATTAGTCGAAGTGTTTTGTGTTAATCAATATCACACAGAGATTGGTTAAAGTTTGCCTTCTCATTAAATTATCTAACTTTCTTAATAAATTTTGAACAAAGAAAGAATAGAAAGTGTTATTGGTAAAAGTATGGACTATGAAAATGAATTTGAAATAACTTTGATGAATTTTCAGCTGATTCTTAGCTTATAAAAAAATAGCTTCCGTACATGGAGGATTTTCTGAAATGAAAACAGTAATGTTACAAGATGTAAACAGATTTTCAATTAATGATGAATCTATTCACGTCTTCTACCGGTTGATTTGTTTATGAATCGATGAAAATAATGACATCAATTCGTTCCGATGCATATAGATTATCCGTTCGATCTAAACCTTACCATGACCAAAACAGATTTTTAAGTTTTTTTATCGTTAGGGCTTTTACTACGAAACGACTTTGTTTATAATTCGAAAATTCTGTATAGTCATCTGGATAAATAAGTTTTGCGTAAAAATGTAAGGGATGCTGTTTGATCTGTCTGTATATAAAATATAGTGTCATCACGTTGCTCGTTCCAGGAATAAGAGGTTTAGGATTAGAATCCAGGAATAGTGTCGTTTTGTCTGTACATACAAATGACAACAAATCGAGGACTTGATGAATTTTTTTACAGCATTATTTTTACTCTATGGTGTGGAGAATTAATTTTTCGTCATCATTTTAAACATTTTCAGCAATTTACAAAGGCGTGGGATGAATAAACTTTTCTGTTCTCGTTTACAGTTACAAGGAATATCAAGATGTAAAATTGGTTTTTCACTGAGCAGTGACCGATGTTATGTATATCAGATCAGGTTAGTCTTGCTGATAAATACCAAATAACATGAAACCTAGATTCAGAATTTTCTGACAACTACTTCTAGTTTGAAATGGGACTAGAATTCATAAATATGGTAAGAAGGTACAAAATATGATACTAAACTTATTATGAGTTTGATAAAAATCAGTACATGTAAAATCTAACCATTTAAGAAGGGTAAGGATTAATCCCGACAATTAGTCATCAGTTCATTCGGAGAGTGAATGAATGACCTGTAGTCGAAATATCCTACAATTGTCTGTATTTAGTAATTTGTAATCATGTTTACTTTTGTGTTCAATATTTTCCATGTGAGCATGTTATTTTGTCAGAAGAAAAAGCTTATTGTACTTGTGATCTGTATTGTCTTATGATATCAGTCCACTTATGCGCTCATGTCAATAAATCTTTATCGTGGGCAGTTATCATTCAGTCACGTAATATCACTGTTGCTCATGTATCAATCAGCACTTTTTTCATCCACTTAACAAATCGAACCCTGTTCTTAAAGTCCTACTCCATGATAGAAGATATCGTTATTAATAGTTATAATAGATTAAGCGACTAAACAGTCGATTAATTCAAGTAAACACCTACTTTTATCATATTTATTGGTAATTACAACGTTCTTCCACAAGTAATTATACTTAGGACAAATAAATATCCGTCAACCTCACACTGTTCAATGTCGTATTTTATGGTTACTTTATCTTATGATTTCCCGTCTAGTTTCAAAAATTTATCTATACTTCGACTAAAGTATGGTAACTCGTTGATCAGATTTCGGTTTGTAACTTTAAACTGTTTTGTAACTAATAGAGAGTTTTGAAACCGAACAATGAATTCATTTCAACCTTCGTAATTAGTTGCCCATATATGACCTAATTGAAAATAAGATTTCAGATTCATAGGATCTGTAGCATGGGTAGATTCCACTCCTTTAAAGGTATAAATTTACCAGTATCATAGTTAAATATTTTCCTGGTCGGTGTGTTTTTTACTAACGTCTTTTTCTACGGGATAGGGTTGTTAACCCCATACCAAACCCTCCTGGCTTGGGACCGGCAGTAACCCTGAAAGGGTTCTAGACAGATTTTTACTGATGACACGTTTTAAGTAATATTTGTGTTTACATGTGATGTAATCTTTTTAGGTGAGGAGGAACTCTTAGATGAAGCAAGATATAAATAGCTACGTTGGATGACTGGATGTAGTTGACCGGAAGTAACAGACTTCGGGTTCGTGCAAGTTAATAAGTGTCATCAAATCATATCTGCAAACTTGAGGAATCTGATATTTTTTGTTAGATCTGAAACTATGTCAACCAGTGTCATAGTCAGAATCGGTTTGATCACTGATTAATAAATTACGTTATGTTTGTCTA